ATTCCGCCCTGAAGGATCAACAAGAGACAGTCTCTGTGGCTGCTGGGTGTGAGTTATGCAACTTGCAGCCAGACATCTCCTGCATAACATGATTGCTTAAGATTTTAGAGGAAAAGAAATGCTGATTGAAGAACCATGTGTACAACTTCCCATCTAGCTTGCACAAGTCACTTAAGCCCAGTACAAGCATCTCCTCACTCTCCTACCCCGTCTGAGAAGAACACACCACTGTTAAACTCAGTGTCCTAAAATATAAATTTCAACAGACTACTCCTGTACTCAGACACACTTTACAATGCCCCCATTAAAGATCAAGTCAAACACATTAGACTGGAATTCAGGTACTCTATCAAATTTATTTTCTGCTTTACCTCTAGTACTCCCCTGAGAGCTCTTTGCAGATGCAATTACATGAAGGATTTTTTTTTTTTTTTTTTTTGAGATGGAGTCTCGCGCTTTAGTCACTGCCAAGCTGGAGACATGGTGATGATCTCGGCTCACTTGCAACCTCCGCCTCCCAGGTTCAGCTACTGTCTGACCTCCTCCCGAATGGCTAGTACAGGCACCCACCACCATGCCTGGCTTATTTTTGTATCTTTAGTAGAGATGGGGTTTCACCATGTTGGCCAGGCTGGTGTTGAACTCCTGACCTCAGGTGATCTCTCTGCACCACCTCAGCCTCCCAAAGTGCTGGGTACAGGCATGAGCACATCATCTAAATGAAGAGGATTTTGAGATGGGAGATGATCCTGGATTATCCAGCTGGTCCTTAAATGCCCCCTCTTGTAAATGCCCCCTCTCTTTATAAGACAGAGGCAGAGAGAGATTGGACCTTGGGATAGGAGTGAAAGTGGCCACTGAGGCAAGATTCCCATGCTGCTGGCTTTGAAGAAATGCAAAGAGATAGAAAGCTCCAGGGTGGGAAAAGCCGAGGAACTGGATTCTCCCCTAAACCCCTGGAGGGAGCACGGCCCTGGCTCAAGGAAAATCGTCTCAGCCCTGATCTCTGGCAGCATAAGCAAATATGTGTTGTTTTAAGCTGGTAAGCTTTGGTAACTTATTCTGGCAGCCATAGGGAAAGGAATACACCAAGTAGCTCTCACTCATAAGATTGTTTTGCAGAGTTGATGAGGTAGCGTAGGTAAAAATATTGCCATAGCACCAGTGGGTGAATTTACTAAATGCTCAGTAAATGCCCAGGCCACATTAGGAAGACCCAGTGGCCGGCCTCTTGGCTGTTCCTGACATCCTCCATCCCCAGACACACTGCTTCCCACATCCCAGCGTGCAAAGCACCTAGCCTGAATTGCCACATCTAGAAAAATTGTAGCCTGTTTCTGGAAGGTGTCCTCTCCTAGTGGAAAATGTGGACACTGTGGATTCTGATCTTGTAGAGTACAAGTGATGTTGAAGCCAGGCAGATGTTTCTCCTGTGCATGGTAAAAGCAAACAAACAAGCATCTCGGTGAAATAGATCTGTCTCTTTTAGGGTAGGCCAGTGTGGTGTGGAGAGGTTCCATGGCTTCAAGCGATCCCACACCACTCCTGGGACCCCTGGGCAGTGGCCTCTCATTGGACCAGGTTGATCTGTGTGTCACCAATGGCATATGGCAGAAGTGTTGCTCCCAAGGACTGTGGCTTCCTTCTTGGTTATACTCTTGGTTCCTTCTTGGTTAGACTCTTGGTTGCATCTCGGTTATACTCTCGGTTGCTTGCTCTATCTCTCTTGGAGTCACACTTGCTCTGGAGAAGCCAGCCACCGTATACCCAAGGATACTCAAGTGGTCCTAGGGCGGAACTGAGCCCTCCCACCAACCACTGTGTGAGAGCTTGGAAGGTTCTCAGCTCAGTCAAGCCCTAGAAATGACTGCAGCACTGGTTGACAGCTTGGCTACAACCTGACAGACCTTGAGCGAGACCCACACAGCAAGTCATTCCAAGATTCTGACCCACAGAGACAACGGAGACAATAGGCATTTCTTGTTTCAGGCTTCTGAGGTTTGGGATAATTTATTACGCAGCAGTAGATACTTCATGGAGCAAGCGCAGGCAGGCTGGAGCACTTGCGTGGTGTAGTTGTGGCGGGGAAGTCGATGTGTTTTGATGAAGTACCCGGTGAAGTTTTCTGCACTGTTCAAGAGAACTGACCTGGGAGAGGGCATGCCGATAGCCCATTACTTACGGTGGGGACAAGGGAGCCCATGGGCCAGTGGGACCAGAAGTTTCTGGTTTCTTGGTTGGTCTTTGGGATGCGTGAAGAGAAAGTAGATACAGCAAACCTAGTGAGCAAACATTCTGAAACTCTCCCAGCCTCAGCTCCTCCAGAAAAGTTCTCATACTGAGATCTGACTGTAGTTTCTCTGTGTCCCACCCAAATCTACATCTCGAATTGTAATCCCCCATGTGCTGGAGGAGGGGGCCTGGTGGGAGGTGACTGAATCATGGGTGGACCATCCTCCTTGCTGTTTCTCCTGATGGTGGTGGGCTCTCACGAGATCTGATCTGAAGTCACGCGGCCACATCCCCGCAGCCCCCCTCCTGCTCCCTCATGGTAAGATGTGTTTGCTTCCCCTTTGCCTTCTGCCGTGATTGTGAGTCTCCTGAGGCTTCCTATTAAGCCTGTGGAACTGTGAGTCAATTAAACCTCTTTTTCATACAAAGTATTTGGTCTCTTACCGAAAAAAAAAAGGTAGGTTTTTTTTTTTTTAGGTCTTTTTTTTTTTTTTTGAGATGGAGTCTCACTCTGTCACCCAGGCTGGAGTGCAGTGGCACATCTCGGGTCACTGCAACCTCCACCTCCCGGGTTCAAGTGATTCTCCTGCCTCAGCCTCCCGAGTAGCCGGGTTACAGGTGTGTGCCTGCCACCTGGCTAATTTCTGTATTTTTAGTAGAGACAGGGTTTCACCATGTTGGCCAGGCTGGTGTCGAACTCCTGACCTCAAGAGTGATCCGCCTGCGCCAACCTCCCAAAGTGCTGGGATTACAGGTGTGAGCCATCGCACCCTGGCTAGGTAGTTCTTTGTGTGAGAATGGACTAATACAAGACTACGATGGCATTTGCACATTTGGCACCTCTCACACTGACATAATTACACGACTCAGGTATGTACAGTGGTTGGGACATACATATCTGGGACTTGTATTTTACCTAAACTATATAGCAAAGTCTCTGATGCATAGTACATGTAAGGATAAATATACTTACCTACCACATGGTGATGGATGTGTTGAATGAATGATTAAATGAACCATCTTAGCTAATTCATATAATATGAAAACTGAAGTTCAGGGAGTTGCTTGCCAGGTCACACATCAAAAATCCAGCCCAGCGGCAGGCACACTGGAGATACAGTTTATTTTAATGGGTGAGTTGATGGCGGAGCTGGAACTGAAACCACAGTCAGTCAGGACGCCTGTCTTGGACCCAAGGACTACCTGAGTGGAGGCTGCTGTATCTCCACGCTTTGAATGATTCCTTCTGTAGCAATGAAAACGCCCCTGACCTAGAAATGAACCTGAGTGTTGAACTGCATGATTAAGGAACCATAAGGGGTGATGCTGTGACGCACCCCTGTCCCAGCATTGGGAAACCTTCGCCTGAGCCTTCCTCTGAGCCAGCCAGGGCAGTTTCTCTTTGCTCCAGATATAAAGGGAATCAGATCCACAGTCATGTTAGGTCTAGAACTTCATGCTCTCAATATGGTAGCCACTAGACATGTGTGGCGAATTTAAGAATTCAAATTGATGAAAAACTCAGGCTGGGAGCAATGGCTCACCTGTAATCCCAAAACTTTGGGAGGCCAAGGCAGGAGGAGGATCGCTTGAGCCCAGGAGTTCAAACCCAGCCTGGGCAATGTAGCAAGACTCTATCTATCTATTATCTATCTATCTATCTATCTATCTATCTATCTATCTATCTATCTATCTATCTATCAATCATCCAAAAATTCAGTAGTCACAGTTATCTATCTATCTATCTATCTATCTATCTATCTATCTATCTATCTATCAATCATCCAAAAATTCAGTAGTCACAGTTCATGTACTCAATAGCCACATGTACCTAGTAGCTGCCCTATTGGACAGCACAGATACAGAACATTTCCATCACTGCATAAAGTTCTATTGGACAGTGCTTGTCTAGAACCACCACACTTCCAGGGGCAGATTTTGTGTGTGTGTGTGTGTGTGTGTGTGTAAGCCAGGCATGGGGCTTACCTTACAATAACTGTACAAGTATCATCTCGTTTAGTCCTTACAACAGCCCTATGAGGTTGGTGAAATTATTATTTTGCTTTTACATGTGAGGACACTGAAACTCAGAGAGGTTAAGCCACTTGCCCAAGGACACACAGCAAAAATGTGTTAAGAGCTAGGAATTGAATCCAGGTCTTTCTTTTTCTGCTGAAATACATCAGCCCTTGTGGCTTCTGAGATTTAACATCATGATTTTGTGTATTGAAGCGAAGCATCAATACAAGGGACCACCAAACCTGCATGTCATTGTGAGCATTTAATTTGAGAAAACTTCCTTTCCCTCCCCTCTTTTACCCTCTCCCCTTCTCCTTTTTCCTCCCCTTCCTCTTCTCTTTCCTTGCTTCATCCTTCCCTTCCATCTCCCTCCTTCCTTCCTATCCTTAATCACTCAGTATGGACACTGACAAGTCAGAAGGGACCCTGCTGTGGCACTAGAGGAGGGGGTCTGGGGGTACCCTGGAAGATCTGGGGGACGGAAGGGGGCCAGGGACACCCAAGGATGCTCAGGGTAGTAGCTATTTACCAGTCGATACAGAATTGTTACAATGGTATACCAACCACCAGGGCCCTCCCAGAGACACTAGTTTATGCCAAGCAGTGCATCCAGAGTGCAGGGGTGCCCAAGTCAGTAGGACTCAGGACTTTGCAGGGCTGTGCTGAGAGGGGAAGGCCCAAGCAGCCTCGGCAAGGCCTCTTCTGGTCGCTGCTGAGGGCCACTGTGTCTGTCTCCCCATGCGACTCACCGGGGGGCCTCTCCCACTGCCTCGATGGGGCACCAGGCAGAGACTTCACAGGTCTTCCGGTTCCCTTCATACACTACACACCTTCCGGTCTGAATTCCTATAGGGGCCAAAGCATCGTAGAACCACAGATGTGAAAGAACTGCGGAGAGGAAGTTCTCCAGGAGGGACATCATTAACTCAACCCAGGCAAGAGACTAGGCTTTGACCAGGCTTTCCAACCCACGCAGCTTCAGCTTCCATCAAGCCCGTCCTAACCACAACAAACACAAGGCAAGGCAAATGAGCAAAACATAATAGAGATCAGACAGAACACAGAAAGACTGTGGATTCTGCTGGCTCTTTTGTTTCTTTACAAGTAAAGGTGTCCATGAGGGGAGCGGAACAGGTGTATGCTCTCACTTAGTATAAATGGACTAGAACATGGCCTCTCCAAAGGGCACAAGTCCCTCAAGGGGTACACAGCCTGTCCAGGATGCGCCAAGCCATGAAATAAGCATGGCGCATCTTCCTGGAGTGTCAGGATGATTAACCAGTTTCCAAGGGAGAATTAATTAAATAGTGAGCAATGTTAAAATAATCTTTATACCAACTCGAATACACATATAGTATGGAGTAGAATGCAGTAATGGGCATATGCCTTTTTGTGTGCATTTGCATTATAACTACTGATTTTTTTTTTTTTTTTTTTTTTGGAATTTTAAAAATTGCCGTGTGTTTTTTTTTTTTTTTTTTAATGGAGTCTAGCTTTGTCACCCATGCTGGAGTGCAGTGGCACAATCTTGGCTCCCTGCAACCTCCGCCTTCCAGGTTCAAGTGATTCTCATGTCTCAGCTTCCCAAGTAGCTGGGATTATAAGCACGTGCCACCATGCCTGGCTAATTTTTGTATTTTTAATAGAGATGGGGTTTCACCATGTTTTCCAGGCTAGTCTCAAACCCCTGACCTCAAGCATCCATCTGCCTCACCCTCCCAAAGTGCTGGGATTACAGGCATGAGCCTCTGCACCCGGTGCCCTGTGCCTTTCTAAGTTAAAACATGAGATAAAGAAATTCTGCAGGTATCACAATAGCACTGTTCTTAGATACAAATAAAATCAAAAGTAAAATAAAACAGTACAAAAAATTTTTGAAAAGTAAAAAATAAAATAAAATAAAATAAAAAATTTGCAGGTTAATATGGGTATTACTGCCAGGTTCCCTGGGGGTATAAGTTCATGGTCCTCAACCTTTGAGGAGATTCAGGGGGAAGTTTAGAATATTCAGATGATACTATAGGCCATGTGATTTTTCTACCGATTAGAACCTGAACCTGCTAGGTTTTTAGGAGCTTCTCTCACTGGAAAACTGGAGTCATGTTTACAGTCAGCAGCTGGTCTGCTGGGGACAGAGCCGAAGCATGGGCAGACTCGCCTATGGCTTGGTGATGGTGGAAGAGGACAGCTGAGAGCAGAGGCTGAAGACCTGAACTGGGCATCACAAATGTCACCAAGATGCCTGACCATCCAACCCTAGGGTCTCGGGAAAAGAAACAGAAGGTACCTTTGCTCTGTGGGTCCATCCATCCCTTTTTACAACCCCGGTCAGAGGAACAGAGCGTCCTGCGGGTGGGATACTGCAGATAGAAGGATGAGAGAGTGGGGAGTAAGTGACGTGTGTTACTAAGACATGGAGAAGAGATTCTATATCCACCAGGATGTGCACACGAATGCTTAGAGCAGCACTACTCAGAATTGCCAAAAAGTGGAAACCACACAAGTGTCCACTGACAGATGAATGGACAAATAAAATGTGGTACATTCATACACAGAATCTTATTTAGCCATAAGCAGGATGAAGCGTTGATGCAGTGTACAACATGGATGGATCTTGAGGACATGATGCTGAGTGAAAGAAGCCAGACACAAAAGGCTACACCATGTACGATTCTATTTATAGGAAATGTCCAGAATAGGCATCTATAGAGACAGAAAGCAGACTGGTGGTGGCCAGCAACCAGGGGAAGGGGAGAATGGGGAGTGATTGCTAATGGGTTTGGGGTTTCCTTTGTGGGTGATGAAAATGTTCTGGAGGCCGGGCGTCATGGCTCATCACGCCTGTAATCCCAGCACTTTGGGAGGTCAATCACCTGAGGTCAGGAGTCTGAGACCAGCCTGCCCAATGTGGTGAAACCCCATCTCTACTAAAAATACAAAAATTATCAGGCATGGTGGTGTGCGCCTGTAATCCCTGCTACTAGGGAGGCTGAGGCAGGAGAATCGCTTGAACCCGGGAGGCGGAGGTTGCAGTGAGCTGAGATTGTGCCACTGCACTCCAGCCTGGGTGACAAGAGCAAAACTCCACAAAGAAGGAAGGAAGGAAGGAAGGAAGGAAGGAAGGAAGGAAGGAGGGAGGGAGGGGGGAAGGGAGGGAAGGAAGGAAGGAAAAAAAAGAAAAGAAAGGAAAATGTTCTGGAATTAGATGGCGGTGATGGTTGCACAACTCTGTGAATGTACTAAAAACCACTGAATTGTACGCTTTAAAATGGTGGGGTTTATGGTATGTGAATTATATCCCAATAAAAATGAATAAAAATGGGTAAAGCAGAGGTCTGGGCAGCTAGGAATCACTTTCAGGGATGCTGGCTGGGGTGGAGGACAGGTGGTTTGGTCCAAGTGGCCCTATGGCTGAAAGGACTAAGCAGGGCAAACAGGTGCGGAGACTCAGCAGGACACATGGAACTGAGAGACATTGGCCAGGACACTCGCCTGGCCTAAGAAAACGAGACCAGCTGGGTCTCAGGGCTGAAGGACAGAACATGGAAGAGAGAAATGAGCTGCCCTGGTTTGTGCATATTTCTCTTCCTGTTTTCTAGGGAGCAGGCTTCATGGCCAGTCTTGAGGAAGCCAGAATATGACATAGGTGTGAAAATAGCCTCTGCTCCTTGTCATCTGTGCAATTTGTGGCTTCTACAGTGATTCAGGCCAAGGACCTAGGTCTTGGACCCAGGTATACCTGGTTCAGCAGTAGCTGCACCATTTTCTAGCTGAGAGACCTCAGCCAACTCACTCACTTCTCTGAGCCTCAGTTTCCTCATCTGTAAAAGCAAGGTGAACAGATTTGCCTTTTTTTTCTTTTCTTTTTTTTTTGAGACAGTCTTGCTCTGTTGACCAGGTTAGAGTGCAGTGGTATGATCTTGACTCACTGTAACCTCCGCCTCCTGGGTTCAAGCAATTCTCCTGCCTCAGCCTCCCAAGTAGTTGGGATTACAGGCACACGTCACCATGCCTGGCTAATTTTTGTATTTTTAGTAGAGATGATGTTTTACCATCTTGGCCAGGCTGGTCTTGAACTCCTGACCTCGTGATCCGCCTGCCTCGGCCTCCCAAAGTGCTGGGATTACAGGCATTAGCCACCGTGCCCAGCCAACAGATTTGTCTTGCATGGTTGTTGTGAAGATTAAATGAGTTATGAAAAGAAAGGGTTTAGCACATAGTACATGCTCAATGAATGTTTCTTGTAGTTTTCAAACTCTCTCATGAACTCTTTATTTCCCAGGCTGCCTTAGTCACATGGCATGCCGTTGGTCTCCTCCCCTTGTGACTCCCCAAATTAGACTGTGAACCCTTTGAATACAGAGTAAAAGGTCATATCTTTGTAGCCCAAGTGCCTGGCAAATAGTAGGTCTTGATAGTCATGGAAGGAATGAATGTGTGATCATTCACTGTGGCTCATGGAAAGTTACATTTTCATTATCAACTGGAGATGAATCTCAGGAAAGAAGAGAAATCAATTTTATTTTGCTCTCCAAAAGGAATTCTAAAATTAAAAAAAAAAACAACAGCATTAGTTTTGTTGTAATCTTCTCTTTTGTGATTGTTGCATGGATTAAAGATGGCCACAAATTCTTGGTCACTTTCCTCATTGAGAGGTGGAGTGTTTCCTCTACTTTCTGAAGCTGAACCTGTGCTGTGACTGCAAAACCAATAGAAGCAGCAGAAGGAACGCTGTTGCCAGTTCCAGGCCTAAGCCTTAAGAAGGCCAGGAAGCTTCTATTTTTTTGTTTTGTTTTGTTTTGTTTTGAGGAACCTGAACCACTATTGGAAAGTTTGACTACCCTGCTGGAGAGACAATGCGGAGAGACCTTGAAGAGAGGGAAACTCATAGGGGTTCCCAGAGAGGAAGAGATGTCTAGCTATCCCTGGGTGCCAATTGAGGCTCCAAGGGATGCCAACCCCAGCTGCCATCCGACTGCAGCTCCTTGAGAGATCCCTAGTGACACCAGTAGAAGAACCACCCAGCTGAACTCAGTCAACCACTGAACTGTGAAAGTTAATAAAATGCTTGTGTTAAGCTCACCATGATCAGGGTAGTTTGTTTTGAACCCATAGGTAACTGGAGCAAATATCTATTCAGGTTGGTGTGTAACTGGAACTTGGTCATATTTACTGAGACAACCAGAGATAGAAGGGTGTTGATGGGCAGAGAGGAGGTGAATGTCCAATTAGACCAGCCCAAACCAGCCTGGAGCATAAGTTAAAATCCCAAAGAGTCACATGTGCTCTCTGGGGTGGCAGTGCCTCCACGGAGCCTGTTGGGTTCCAGCCACTCTGAGTGACATCCCATCTGAGGAGTAACATATCATTTGAATCATAACAGCTGACATTCACTGAGTGCTTATAATGTACCATGCCTTGTTTTAAGCATGTCACAGGTATTCACTCATTTGTTTCAACAATCTGAACAGTTAGGTTTTGTTCTCAGCCCCATTTTATAGATGCACACAACTTGGCACAGAGAGGTGAAGAGTCACCTGCCTGAGGTCACAGAGCTAAGAATTTTAAGTTTTGAACCTTTAGCAGTCTAGCTTCTGAGCCCAGGCTCTTAATCTCTGGGCTATCCTAACTCTCTTTCTTCCAAGTCTCAGTAACTCCAAAAGTGTCTTTATGTGTACATGGGGGTGGAGTGTGGTGTAGAGATGACCAAAGGATGGGACAAAAGAGAACCAAGGCCCCCAAACTGGATTGGAGACAGAACACTGCTGGGAAGGGAGACAGAAGGGAGGGCTTGGCTGGCCTGGCTATCAGAGATTTCACCTGAACAGCGGGGACAGTTAAGGGGCGATGAGGACGAAACAAACAAAGAAAGCTCTCCTTTTAGGGGGAGTGTTATCAAGATAGACACCAAGGGAATGTTATCTTGTTTCTGGGTTTGGGTACAAATGATGGCAAAGGCTGTACTCAAAGACAGCACTTTTGCCCAGAGTTCCTGGACACTCAGGAAGCTAGACCTTGTTGCCAGAGTGGGCCCGTGAGCAAAACCCCACCGGCAGGGCTGGGCCTACTCATCAGTGGAGGATCTGGCTGGGTACCACCAGCGCTGCTGCAATTGTCAGTGTTGGGAATGGTCCCTGGTACAGCACAGTTACGTTACCTGAGAGGGGAGGCTGGGAGGTTGGGAGTTATCAGTAATGCCTAGCAGTAACACGCTGGTATAGATAAACTTAGAAGAATAGCTGGTTTTCATATTGAAGAGCAGAGAGCAGGATGGTGAGGTACAGAATAGGACAAATACAGTTTTTGTTTTGTTTTGTTTTTAGAGACAAAGTCTCACTATGTTGCCCAGGCTGGTCTTGAACTCCTGGGCTCCAGTGATCCTCCTGCCTTGGCTTCCCAAAGTGCTGGGATTATAGGTGTGAGCCACCATGCCTGGCCCAGAATAAAACAAATATGATTTGATAGGGAAGAAGCTCTTCCAGAAAGAGGCAGCATTGTGGAGAGGGCAGAGTCAAGTTGGGAAAGATTGTCTGGGTTGGTGGCAGGGAGCTATGGGGGCCCATGCACCTGATGGAGAGGCGGGTGAATGAGCAAGAGAGCTGTGTGCCAGGGTTTCCCAAAACCGGCCCTGCAGACAGTTAACTGTGAACCATGGTAGGAGAAGCTGTGAGTGAGGACACTCAGGTCCTAACCCTGGCTGTGCCTGCAGCAAGCTGTGTGACCCTGGGGAAGTCACAACCTCTCTGAATCTGTGTTCTGGTTTGTAAAATGCCATTTTTCTCCTAAAGTCATTGTGAGCCTCAAATCAAATGTGAAATGTTGTACAAATGCCAAGAATCACCATTGTCATAGGCTGAGAAGAGAGCCAGAGATAGAAAGAGCAGGGTTGACGTCTGCACGGGTCCCTAGTGCTAGAACCGGAGACTGAGGCAGGCAGACAAAGATCCGGTGGCCATGGAGAGACACTGCCATGTGTTCTCTCCCTTCCTCCACTCAGCCCAGCCCTACCCCAGAAAAGAGGCAGGTAAATATTTGTGGGCTGAAATACACCCCAGGGTCCTAATTTCTGCTTCTTCTGACGTGCATCTCCCCCAGGAACTCTTATGACCTGGCTCACCACTCCAGGTCCCCTCCTTACCTCGGGACATAACCGCTGCTGTTGGCCTTCTGTTTTGAGAAAGTTTGTCATCACGAAGAAAGAGTTCCCCTGTGGAGAAGGAGAGGCTAAGGAAATGCAAAGCCTTTGAAAAGAGAACTACTTAATTATAATAATCCAGCTTGCTGGGCAAACCTCTCCACTTTTCTAAGCTTCTAGAAATCAGGGTCTGTGGGCAACTTGGAATATGCCGAGGGCTTAATATCAAAGCTGGACGGGCAGCCCTGCTGAGCTGAGGGAGAGCGAAGGAGCATTTGCATGGGTTGAGGAGTCATTTACCACTGTAGTCTCAAAAGCAGCCTTTTCGTGTTTTTTTTTTTTTAAACACAGTAAAATCTCATTAAATTGAAACTCAAGAGACCTGGGGAGGGAAGGGTAGGGGAGCAGGCTTCATCGGAACACTGTTCAGATTTTCCCGGACTTTAATGAAAGGCACTAGGGCATCCCACCACCTGAGCAATCACAGGATTTTAATGACCGGCTGTTAGAAACAAATAGATAGCAACTTGGGCTTTATAGAGTTTTGCAAAGCATTTTAGCTCCCCAGGCCACAAACGTGCCCCTTCGTCCCTCCCGCCCCCTTCTCTGTTTTTTGGCCTCCTCAATCCTACTTTAATTTCTCCTTTTTGGCAATTCTGCTTTCATTTTCCCTGCTTGCAAATTTAGAAGTCACACGCCTTCTCTCAGTGACCGATGCCTTTCTTCTTTTTGTCATTTACATCCTTTCTTGGTGGAAAAATGTACCCAAGAATGGTCTCCTGGAGTCGTTTTTGTTGATAAAACGCCACACAATCTAGAAGGGCTGGTACTCTTCGGTAGAAAGTTCTCTGTCCTTCTGAGTCTAGGCAGACCTTGCTGGCTTGGTGGCTGTGCCTCTAAAAACTGCATATAAATCAAGTGTGAGTGAATCAAATCCTGTTTTCAATGTACCAGCACATGCGGCTATTTTGAAAAACCCTGTAGGACTTGATAAAGCAAAGGATCATCTCCTGGATCTCACCCAGGTTTGCAGTTTTTAGGTTTTCTCAGTTGAGATGTTCACAGAGCTTTTAAAATAGGGCCAACGTTTTTTCTGGAGTGAGGCTCTAGATAATAGGGGGAGGGAGCAAGGATCTGGCGACGGTGACCAGCGACGAGCCCGGGAGAATGCTACGAGGTGCTTACCTGCAAAGGGAAGGTGTAGTCTGCAGTGTCAAAGACACTGTGCACCAACTTCTTCACTCCATTCTCCACGATCTCCTCTTTCACCTCTGCTATCCCCTTCACCTTGGTGTGCACAGAACTGATGACAGGCTCTTTCCGCTGGTACAACTTGTCACTCACCAGAGCAAAGCTAAATGGCAGACATGGGAAAGCATCAACGGGAGGCACAGCACAGCGGGTTGGGATGCAGGTGCTGGAGGATGCAGGCACTTCCGTTCCAATCCTAGCTCTGCTGCATGACTTGCTTCCATGTGACTTGTTTTCCCTCTCTGGACGATGGGAAGAATAGTCATACCTGCCTCATGGATTGCGAGGATGAAATGAGAGATGTTTGCAAACTCCTTTGCCCAGTATCTGGCACATAGTGAGGACTTGCCACAGGAAAGCTACTGCCCCCAATCCTACTCTTCAATATTCTCTAACATGGACCCTCATAGATAAGACAGCTTCTCAAGTCAGAAAGTCCCGCCCCGGTAGGTTCGCCAGCTTTGTCTGGAGGTTCAGTAACACATCAGCACCTTCCAGTCCAAGACAGTGTCTGGTGCATTTTCAGAAACACCTACCTGCTTTATCAATAACATTGAAAATGGCAGCTTCTCTCTCTCTCTCTCTTTTTTTTTTTTTTTTTTTTTTTGAGACAGAGTTTTGCTCTTGTTGCCCAGACTGGAGTGTGATGGTAGGATCTTGGCTCACTGCAACTTCCACCTCCCAGGTTCAAGTAATTCTCCTGCCTCAGCCTCCCAAGTAGCTGGGATTACAGGCGTGAGACACTGCGCCCAGCCTCTCTCTTTTTTTTTTTTTTAATTCCAGAGAAAGGGCCTTGCTCTGTTACCCAGGCTGGAGTGCAGTGGCATGGAGCTCACTGCAGCCTCCAACTCCCAAGCTCAAGTTGATCCTATCACCTCAGCCTCCTGAGTAGCTGGAACTACAGGCATGTACCACCACATTCAGCTAGCTTTTATTATTTTTTATAGAGATGGGGCGGGGGGGGGGGGTATCTTTATGTTGCCCAGGCTGGTCTCGAACTCTTGGTCTCAAGTAATTCTCCTGCCTCAGCCTCCCAACACGTTGTGGTTACAGGTGTGGGCCACTGCACCAGGCTGCAGGAGCTGCTCTTTCTTGAGCACTTCATATGTGCCAAGTGCTCTACATGCACCATCTCCTTTAACCCTCACAACAGTAGGAGATAGTTACCGGGATTATCGGCATGCGCCACCGCATCCAGCCTAAAGGGTTTGTTTTATTATGTTTTTTTGAGATGGAGTCTTGCTCTATAGCCCAGGCTGGAGTGCAGTGGCACTATCTCAGTTCACTGCAACCTCTGCCTCCCAGGCTCAAGTGATTCTCCTGCTTCAGCCTCCTGAGTAGCTGGGATTACAGACGTGTACACCACACTTGGCTAATTTTTGTATTTTTAGTAGAGACAAGGTTTTGCCATGTTGGTCAGGCTGGTCTTGATCGCCCAACCTCAAGTAATCCACCCACCTCAGCCTCCCAAAGTGCTGGGATTACAGGTGTGAGCCACCACGTGCCTGGCTAATTTTTCTATTTTTAGTAGAGACAAGGTTTCACCATGTTGGTCAGGCTGGTCTTGAATGTCTAACCTCAAGTGATACACCCGCCTTGGCCTCCCAAAGTGCTGAGATTACAGGCATGAGCCACCACGCCCAGCCCTAAAGGGTTTGTTTTAAATGTTTTGTTTACTCATTCAGACTTTACTTATTTAGTCCCTTCTCTCTGCCCAGCTGCTGAGTGATATTAGCAAGTCTAAGATAAGCTGACCTTAGGAAGCTGAGACAGAGTGGGCCAAGACTCAGTCCCAGCTGTTCTCCACCTTGGCTGTGTAACCACCCAGGGAGCTTTCAAAATTGCAGGTCCCCAGTCCCATCCCTGGAGACTATGATTCCATGGGTCAGGGGAGTTATCCAGATACCCACATATTTTTAAAAAGTTCCCAAGTGATTCTAATGCATAGCCAGGGCTGAGAACCACTAGTAGGCTCCTGAAAAGACAGCTCAGATTTGACAGTAGCAAGTACATTTGAAGAAGAGCATTCTCCATGACCCAGCAATACAACTCTTATGTATGTGCCCTAGGGAAACTCTTGTACAGTGCTGGAGGAGCTATGGGCCAGAATGTTTCTGCAGCATTGCTTGTAAGAGGGAAAGCAGGAAATAACCTAAATGTACTCAAACAACGAATGGATAAATAAATTGTTGGATTTATACAATGAGATGCTTTGGGCCAGGCACAGTGGCTCACACCTGTAATCCCAGAACTTTGGGAGGCCGAGGTGGGTGGATCACCTGAGGTCAGGAGTTCGAGGCCATCCTGGCCAATATGGTGAAAACTCGTCTCTACTAAAAATAAAAATTAGCTGGGTACGGTGGCGTGAGCCTGTAATCCCACCTACTCGGGAGGCCGAGGCAGGAGAATCGCTTGAACCTGGGAGATGGAGGTTCCAGTGAGCTGAGATCGTGCCACTGCGCTCCAGTGACAAGAGCGAAGCTCCGTCTCTAAAAACAAAACAAAACAAAACAAAAAACAAAGAACAAAAATTTGCTGGGTGTAGTGGCACATGCCTGTAGTCCCAGCTACTCTGGAGGCCAAGGTGGGAGGATTGCTTGGGCCCAGGAGTTCAAGGCTATAGTAAGCTATGATCGTACCCCTGTACTCCAGCCTGGGCAACAGAGTGAGACCGTGTCTCAAAAATAATAATAATAATAAAATAATTTTTAAAAACGGGATGCTTTGCAGCAGTGAAAATGAGTCGACTAGGCTGGGCATAGTGAATCACACCTGTAATCTCGGCATTTTGGGAGGCCAAGGTGGGTGGATCAGTTGAGGTTAGGAGTTCAGGACCATCCTGACCAACATGGTGAAACTCTGTCTCTACTAAAAATACAAAAAATTAGCCGGGTACGGTGGCGTGCACCTGTAATCCCAGCTACTCAGGAGGGTGAGGCAGGAGAATCGTTTGAACTGGGGAGGTGGAGGTTGCAGGGGGCCAAGGTCACACTACTGCACTCCAGCCTGGCTGAGTAACACTGACAAACCCTGAAAACCATATAATTTATGGCTGGAGTTCAAGCGATTCTCCTGCCTCAGCCTCCTGAGTAGGTGGGACTACAGGCTCGCGCCACCACACCCGGCTAAGTCAAAGAGACCAGTCACAAAAGGCTACATATTGTATAATTCCATTTGTATGAAATATCCAGAACAGGTAAAACCACAGAGACAGAGAGTAGATTGGTGGTTGCAAGGAACAGAGAGGGGAGAAATGGGGAGTGACTCCTGAGGGGCATGGGGCATCCTTTTGGGGTAATGAAAATGTTCTGGAATAGACGTAATGGTTGCACAGCACTGTGAATGTCCTAAATGCCACTGAATTGTTCATGTTTACAGTGGTTAATTTTATGTTATGTGAATTTTACCCTAATAAAAAATTATATTTTTTACATATGTAGACATATATGTGCTGTAGAAATATTAAAACAAACAAGGGAATGACAAATGTCAAATTCAGGATTTCTTTTAGGCTGGGCATGGTGGCTCATGCGTGTAATCCCAGCACTTTGGGAGGCAGGTGGATCATCTGAGACCCTGGGTTCGAAACCAACCTGGCCAACATGGCAAAACCCCGTCTCTACTAAAAATATAAAAATTAGTCAGTTGTGGTGGCATGTGCCTGTAGTCCCAGCTACTCCGGAGACTGAGGCAAGAACCCGGGAGATAGAGGTTGCAGTGAGCTGAGATGGCACCACTGTACTCCAGCCTGGGTGACAGAGTGAGACTCCGTCTTAAAAAGAAAAACAAAAAGGATTTCGTTTAGAGATGGAGTCTTGCTATGTTACCTATGCTGGAACACAGTGGCCATTTCACAAGTGCAGTTAGCACACTACAGCCACAAACTCCTGGGGTCAAGTGATCCTCCTAGCAGGATGTTTATAAAACAAAAGGAAACAGAATGGGATGAAGGATGAGTTTGCAGGGAGCAAAACTGGATTAGTAATGCTTTATTTCTTAACTTGGATGGTGGTACGTGGGTGTTATATTATTCACAATATATTTTAGTATTTCTATAACGTTTATTTATTACTTATTTGAGACGGAGTCTCACTCTGTTGCCCAGGCTGGAGTGCAATGGTGCGATCTCGGCTCACTGCAACTTCTGCTTCCCAGGTTCAAGCGATTCTTCTGCCTCAGCCTCCCAAGTAGCTGGGATCACAGGCACCCACCATCATGCCCAGTAATTTTTGTATTTTTAGTAGAGACAGGGTTTCCCCATGTTGGTCAGGGTGGTCTTGAACTCCTGACCTCAGGTGATCCACCCACCTTGGCCTCCCAAAGTGTTGGGATTACAGGTATGAGCCACTGCACACGGCCAACACTTATTTAAAAAGAAGGATTTTCAAGAAAGATGTTGGGGTAAGAGATCCAGATTTGAGACCCAATCAGCACATATGAGATAGAGCTATTAAATAGAATTCCATAGACAAATATGATAACACTTGCTCAATAATACATTTCAGCCCAGCATCCCAACACATACATAGTGTGCAGCGCTCTCATACTGGATGTTGCAATGTTCTCCTGGAACAACACTTGGTCATGTGACCCACCATTTGAGAAGCTCAATTCTGATCTCTCATGTTCATTCCAGAACGTGCAACATATGATCGATCAGCCTCAATGGAATCAGGCCCTCTCCTAAATAGAAAACCTGTCTCTGTGTCATAATGAACATGTAAATTTTAAGAATTAAAATACTTCAGAGCTGCATCAATGACAAAAAGGGAATGAAAGCGAGTTTGCACACTTTACCTGTTGGGGGGATACCGTGATCATGAAAGTGAGTTTGTGGTGTCCTCCTTTTGGAAAGAAAGTGCTAGTGACCATCCCAGAAATACTCTCCCAACCTTGCTTGGTGACTAAGGCAAGCCATGTCACGCCTCCAGGTGGTCGGTTTAATCCCTGAATGAAGAGAGAACTCCCAGCCTCCCCAATCCCCATGACCTTTTTGCTCTAAGAGGCTATAATGTTATTCATTCTGTAGCAGGCAAAGCTTCACACACCTGGAGCTAACAGGAGTGTGAAGAATCTAGGGATTTCACTGGGCTGGGGAGGATG